TGATTAGCTGGGAGTGCAGATGTGCACCACCGTTTCCAGCTCTGATTGTTGATTTTGTGTGTGTGTGTGTGTGTGTGTGTTGTTGCTTATGTCTATCTTTTCATTTAATTTGGAGAATTGACTATTCACAAAATCTTTGTGTTGTAGGGAACCCATTTATACAGTGAATTCTTACAGAATCATGGATCAAAGAATTGGAATGTGATAGCTATGATTTTTTAAAATTATATTATTTGGGAAAAGGAAATGGCTGTAAAGTTTCCCTCAGTGGGAAGGCAGGTGGGGTAAGCTTTTTCTGTCTTTTATGGAAAGGGGTTGATGATGGGCTGGCATAATAGGGTTATGAACTGATTTATTTGCCATTTGGAAAGGGCTTTGAGGAAAAATTAAGATTGTTTTGCCTTATTCCATAGTGTTTGAGAATTATAATTGACTACTATGTGTTTTGTTTTTCTGAACCTGTCTCACGGCTTTTATAAATTACCTGCTGTATAGAAGTAGCATTGCAGATAGAAGAGAATTACAGAAAAATAAAAACAGTTCCTTTAAATGGAAAGGAACACAAAAATCATTACAAAATTCTTAATCCAAACTGGTTTTGGCAGTGTGTTCCCTCCCTCTCTTCACTCCTCTCTCTCTAGTTGTTATAAAATTATTACATAGGTTTAAATATTAATTGGAGTTGCCTTAGTAAATTCTGGCATGTAGGAGGCCAGCCTCCACACAAACTGTGGATATCCCTAATGTTTGGCGGTGATAAGAGAAAGAAGCAAAGATGAAAGAGACAAAGTAAGATTTTAAAAGAGTGGGTCCAAGGGCCCAATACCATCAATGCGAGGAATGGGAAGGCCTTGTGTTCTGGGGTAACTCAGTGTTTATTACACACATTGTCTTCAAATCTGCAAATGAACAGTCATGCGGGAAAGCAAAAAAAACTGCACTATAGGTCATCCTTTATGGTATTTGCTCCTTCAGCTAAGTTGCTCTTTAACTACTTACACTGTATGTTATTTCTAAACTAAAGATTTGGGATGCAGTTAATGAAACAAAGACCAAAACTTAGAAGCAGGATGCAAGAGCAGACAGCACGTTTGACCAGCTCACAGTTTCCACCTAAGGCAATAAGTCTCCTGCCAGACGGGTACCTAGAGCAGGGGAGAAAGAAACTGTTTCTCTTATCTAGCCCCAAGATATTACTTCTCTTACCAAAGAGCCAGCTGCCAGCACATCTCTGCAGGACTCATTCAGGATCTCTGTTCTCCAAGGCCTGTGCTGTCCTGTTCAACAGACTGTTGCTCTGTTACTCCTTGTGGTCTCCCTGTGCACACGCCCTCTGAGACATCCACATCTTTTATCTTTCCTTTTCCCTTGCCTCACAATCTGTATTCCCTAATTATTAAAATATTTTATAAATTCCAATCTAAATTAATGCTTCAAGAGTATGGGTTTGTTTGCTTTTACTCCTCAGTGAGTTTTCTCACATTTCCACCCACACTGGCACCTAGTATGTCTTACCATCTGAGAGTAGACCAAGTTTTTGTGTTTTTTTAATTTATTTTCATAAACCTAAAAAAAAGGCATACATAACACATTATAGTTTTCTTCCAATTTGAGTTATTTCCTTTTTGTATATCTTGCCTTTCATGCTTTTAAATATTGTGGCTTTAAATTGTATGAGGAAACTACAAATCTACATGATAATTTTAGTTGTAAAGTACATCTTGGAACACAGCCTATAGATGTGTTTAATCTATGTCAGCTAAGAAAATTAGCTAGCATAGATTAAAAAATTTCAAACTATTGAAAACTTTTCTGGGATTATTTTTTTCTTTGAACTTCAGATAATACTGCGGTAAAAGCATCTGGCATTTCACTTTCCTGCCACAGGGTGGTGCACTGTACCTACTGTCTGAAGTTTTGTTGGGCAGCTTTCTTCAACAGCCTGATCAAACTCAGCTTAAGATGAAATAGAACATTATAAAGGTTCACTTTGGGCACTAAATTAAGTTACTTTAGTGACAGAAGATAGTCTTCGATAGAGGGATCTAATTTTATTTAAAGAGGCTTTCACAAGGAAGGTGGGTTTTGTTGCATTATTTTATTTTATTTTATTTTTTTTGAGACAGAGCCTCAAGCTGTCCCCCTGGGTAGAGTGCCATGGCTTTACTGCTCACAGCAACCTCCAACTCCTGGGCTCAAGCGAGTCTCCTGCCTCAGCCTCCCAAGTAGCTGGGACCACAGGCACCCACCACAACGCCCGGCTATTTTTTGCTTGCAGCCATTATTGTTGTTTGGCGGGTCCCGGCTGGGGATTCGAACCCGCCACCTTAGGTGTATGTGGCTGGCGCCTTAGCCGCTTGAGCCACAGGCGCCGAGCCTTGTTGCATTATTAGTTTAAAAGTTTATTTGGAAATATTTTCAGACTTATAATATTAATGTTAAAGAAACAAGAGTAGTATGAGCAACATACATATATTGTTTATTTAGATGTACCTATAATTAACATTCTATCCCATTTGCATACCTTCTCTTTAGGTATGTGTATATTTTTTAATGATATATTTGAAGTCAAGTTATGTTTATTGTGCCTCTTTCCCCCTAAATACTACATTATGTTATTCCAATTGATAATGATATTCTGTTATATAACCATAACACAGTATCAACCTCAATAAATATAATTTTGACACAAGACTTTTACCCAATCCCCCATCAGTATGTCAATTTATCTTTGACTCAATAATGCCCTTGATAATATTTTTCTTGCCAGTTCAGCAGTCTCAGGTCAGTTATAACACTTAATTGTCTTGGTTCTTTAGCTTCCTTTACCCTGGATTATTTCCATGGCCTTTGTCTTTTATAACATTGACATTGAACTCCTCTTAATAGAACATTACTCATTTCCGTTTTGGGTTTGTCTGGTGATTACTCATAATATAGGTTATACATTCTCAGCTAGAAGATTATATATGAAGTTGTTGTGTCTTCTTTTAGAGGATTACATATGTCCATCTTTCATTGGTGATGTTATGCTATTTTTTTTGAAGTCTTTTTTTGTAAATGTAGACATATAAAGTCTATCTGGAAAGTTTCCAGCTACGTATGTCTCCCTTTTTCATGTTAAATGTCTGCATAGGCCAGGTGCAGTGGCTCACATCTGTAATCCTAGCACTCTGGGAGGCCAAGGCGGGTAGATTGCTTGAGGTCACAGGTTCAAAACCAGCTTGTGCAAAAGTGAGACCCCTTCTCTATTAAAAACAGAAAACAACAACAACAACAACAACAACAACAAACACTGAGGTAAGAAGATTGCTTAAGCCCAAGTTGGAGGTTGTTGTGAGCTGTGATGCCATGGCACTCTACCCAGGGCGACAGCTTGAGACTGTGTCTCAAAAAAAATAAAAATAAATAAATAAATAAATAAATAAATGTCTGTATACTTTCTAGTCAGCACTTGCATATGTTTAGAAGAATTAAGTGCCATTCAAGGATATATGATAGCAAATATTTTCTCTGAAGGAAGATACTTAGAAATAGACTAGTGTTCCCAGTAGGAAAAATCTAATTTAACTGGAAGGTTTCATGTAGCACATTTTAACTTTATTGCTTACATGGCTCTTAAGGTGATATATTGGCATTTAATCTGTCCCAGAATTGCTAAGGAGAATTATTGATCTCCTCCTTGGCATCTGCCAGTTATTCTGGTGAAAGAATAAAATCTGAGTAGGTGACATTAGAAGTATAAAAGTGACATCTATCTTAATTATAATCTCTCAGATATAATAATTAACACCAAAGTACCAAAACATTTTTCTCTTTTTTCTAAATTTTTGTAGTCTCTGAATTTGTGCTTGTATTTATCAAGTTTTAATACAAAACAAACATGTAAGTGCAAAATATGTAGGCTGGGAAGAATATTGTGAACTTCCCAAAGTCTTTTTCAAGGAATAGATGTAGTTTTATGAGCAGGAAAATTTCCTAAACATTTATAGTATGTTAGCCTTAAGATGTGTTTAATTCTCAGAAGACCAGGTGTGCCTGTGCTCATGCCTGTAATCCTAGCACTTTGGGAGGCTGAGGTGGGAGAAGCTATTGAGGCCAAGAGTTTGAGACTAGCCTGGACAACATAGGGAGACCTCATCGCTACAAATCTTTTTTTTTTTTTTTAAATTAGCTGGGTGTGATGGCATATGCCTATAGTCCTAGCTACTTGGGAGGCTAAGGCAGAAGGATGCTTGAGCCAGGGAGTTCAAGGCAGCAGTAAGCTGTGATCATGCCATTGCACTCTAGCCTGGGAAGCAGAGTATGACCCTGTCTTAAGAAACCAAAAATTCTCAGAAAGTAACAGGTACCTATTTAGAAGAAAATATCTCACTTGAGAATTTACAATTTCATGACTTTTTCTGTTGAAAGATGTTTGTAATATCAATGTTAAAATGGTAAATTGCTGTCTAAGAAAAAAATGCTACTTTGCAGCTCAATTCCAGAACATAGTGAATTGAAAAATTTTTTGTATGATCTTAACATTTAACTAATCTACTTTGATTACATATGTAATCATATGTATTTTCTGCATACTGTAGACATCAAAAGCATTTGAGGTATGAAATTAAATGAATATAAAGTAATTTGAATGCCGAAATGCCCATTAAATTTAATGGTTGAACTTGAAAAATTATTGGATTATTGCTGTGAGTTGTGATTTCTCCCCTCAGCTACCCTGCTGAGTACTGGAAGAGAGAAGTTCTGTTACTTCGCTGATCTTTTCAGGTTTGCCCCTACAGATTACAAAGAAGTACACTGCCTAAATTGGTAGTAGTTTGTAGCTGCTGCTGCTGCCATTTGTATATGTGCTTCTGAGTTTCCAGAGCTCAGAACTAAAATGGTACCTTGGGGCCTTGAAAGAATTAGTTGTCTTCTCAAGTGCCTAGCTTAATTCTAGGAACCTGGGCAGTAAATGCATAGTTTTAAAAATTGATTTTGTTTATTTTCTTCTTCAGGCAAGAAATCTGTGTAGATTCTACTTCATCCTTGAGAGAGAACAAGCAACCTGAAGGCTTGGAATTAAAACAAGGTATGAATCAAGTAATGAATTTTTGTGTAAAATTTACGCGAAGGATAGAATCATTTTATTAATAATAAATTTTCATGGTGTTGGAACTCACTTCATTTTATAGATAGGGGAACAGAGTAATTTATTTGGTCCAAGAGCAAAAGAGTAAAGAATACGTCCTTTGTTTCATAACTCCTTTATTGGAACAATTATATATACCATGTAATGTATAGTTAGTTATAGACACCACCAGAAAATTTTTGTCATCTTGAAGAATAGTTTTGTTTCAGTAATTTATGTTACATAAACTCAGCTGCAAGATATTGGAGATGTGTTGACTGGGTAGCTTTGAGTTGGGAAAAACAAAGGTAAGTTTTATAAAGTAATTTTTTTTTTCCCTAAGATATTTTGTCCTTGTTTATTTTCGTCCTTATTTATTGCTTTTTTAAAATCAGTAGTTTTTGACATTACTACATAGCAGAAATGAAGTAGTAATTTTAGTTTATTTAAGCCAAGCAGATTAATAGGGCTCATCTTTTAAATGTCTTCTTTGTTCTCATCCCTAGTAGGAAAAATTGAAGGTAAAATAGCTTTTTATTAGTTACCCAAATGTTACCTTACATTTTTTTCCCTGATAAAATTAATTCAGAGCATCAAGAATCTGTTACAGCCAAGAAGATTGAGTTTTCTATTACATAACCACCTAAACTTTGATAGCTTAGAATAGTTTCTCTAAAACTTGAGTCATATGAACTTATTTGGTAGAGAAAAGCAAGTCATTAGTTATTTAGGTAGAATTTTTTTTTTTTTTTTTTTTGGCTGGGGCTGGGTTTGAACCCTCCACCTCTGGCAGATGGGGCCAGCGCCCTGCCCTTTTGAGCCACAGGGGCTGCCCTAGGTAGAATTTTTTTAAAAACTGGTCTGTAACTAGTAATTAAGAAAGTGAAAAAACGTTGGATAGTTTTATGATTTGTCCAAATTAGCTGTAGAAAGAGCAAAATCTGGGTTTTCTGGAATTATAATTTATGTATTGTGGGGTTTACAAACATTTCTGATGATACTGAGAATTCCCAGTGCTTTTCAGAAGTCCTGTTTTGTTACCCTTATAAACAAACAGTGAAAGTTATATCTGTGTAGTCTTAAGTCCTTCTGAGTACCCTGCAGATATAAACTCTGACTACTTTTGAGCATCTCTACAGATTCATAGGTTCATTGGCATTTATTTCTCATATATAAATACATGCAAAACACACACCGCTTTCAAATAATGTGATCGTGGCTTTATAACCCCCTTATACCTCCTGGAGTTCTTTAGGACTCCTTACTTAGTATCAATAGCTTATTTTGCTGTGATTTTCTGATAGTCACTTCAGTCCTTTGAAAACTAGCCATGGAGGTTCAAAGATGAAGAGAAAAAGACTTCAGATTAGCCAAATGACAAAAGTCTAGGCCTTTTATGCTTAGGAGCATATATACTACCCTCAGGTTCTCACCTACACATCAGAAACATCAAGAACACAATGCGGGCATCAAGCAGAGGTGAGGAAACATAAAAGTGTAGCAGTCCCCATGGACAAAGCAGATCATGCTTCTGTTTTGACAAAATCTATCGGAGAAAGTTAAATTAAGTTTCAACTTTTTTTTTAAAGCAGGGAAATAAGTAAAGTCTTTTAGAAAATATCTAGAAAATGACTAAACTATAAAATGTTTTGTTGTATAATGGGAAAAAATGTTATTTAGAAAATTAATTTATGTGTAGAACATCTTCTGGGTAATCATGAATATAGCTGAAGTCTGAACCATATAGTAAGGAGCTTGCTTGGAGTTACTCAAGAAGCTAAGGTATATCAAGAAATAGAAATCCTGGTAGGCTCAATAAAGATTTTTCTCTTTTTTCTAAATGAACTGATATTGTCTCTTTGAAATATGCATAACTTTCAAAGTCTAATACCTCCAACTTTCTTGCATAGCTAGCTGTTCTTGCTAGTGAGCCTAATAAAAACAGAATATAATGCTCCTTGTGAATGTATTGTCATTTTTATTGCTTGACCATTTAAGAAAATTCACTGAAGCTTACTTAGTACTAAAGTAATCCTTTGTTCAGTAGACCAAAATATAAAGCAGCACTGAATTTTCTTTTTGGTCTTTCACTATAATATAAATCTCACCCTATGACCTATTATTGATATATGTATATGATACAAGTTATTTATATTACATTTTCAGTTTTTCCAGCTTCTAAAATACTCAAATATTACTTGAATAATAATTGAGAATTAAATTAAAATTGGCATTTAATTGTTTAGTGCTAGCATTCATTTGGTTGACAGGAAATATCATTTATGAAACTTTTATCATTCTTTAATAACAGATGAATAAAAGGTACTACCTTTGCTGTGAGAATCTTATTTATATGTAAATATAATCAACTGGTTGAATAATTGGTACTGTAGTAAAATAGAGACTTCAGTTAGGAGTAATTTCTTAAGTCATTCATTTCAAGTCAGAGGGCAGTTGTATAAGAAACAAAATGTGTAGTTTTAGGTTTTAGATAGCTATCTGTAGGTAGATACACATGTGCATGCACATGTATGGCACAGGCTCACCTGTGCAAGCTTGAGATCTTACATTAATTTCCTGGAGGATTTTAGGGATTGCTGCTTTTCCAATAAGGATAGTTTGCCTACATTTTCTAAATTGGTCATTTGTGCCTTAATTTTAAAAAAGGAGAATTATTTGTTGAAGATACTTAATACATAGATAATATTTTTAAAATACCAAACAAATCTCTGCTAATGTTAATGAGTCATCTCCCTATAGATTTATTTACAAATAAGTAGTTTGCTCAAGACATTCAGCAGTAATAAAATATTAGTCTGTATTTAAATTGTTGCTTTAAAGTTTACAACTGTGAATATGTGTAGATTTGCAAATTATTTTCCTTTTTAACTTCAATAATTAAGTCTTTATGTTTGCTTTCTTCTTGGAAGTTGTCATGAGAAAAAATTTAAACCATACGTGAGAAATAGCTGGGTTAGGTTAGACTAAAGAGTTGAGGTTTATAGTAGTTATTTTAAAATATCTGGAAGACAGTTAAATGGAAGACTGATTAGTTTTGTTCTAAAGGGCCTCCCAGGAAAAAAATACCTTTTGTCTAAGTTATCATTAGACAAAATTTTATTTATTTCTAATAATCAGAAGTGTCAGAAAATGCAGTGGACTGCCTTCTGAGAATATATTCCTATTGCTGACGGTGTTCAAACAAATTGCATAAACTGCCACTTGGTGGTGCTATTGTAGAACAGATTCAAGCACTGCTGGGATGTTTGGAGTTGACTTGAACCTCCTTTCTGGCTGTCAGATTTTGTAAAGAGCATTGTGTAGTGCATTGTTTGTACATGAGAAGTGTTCTTAATAACTGTTTTCTTAAATTGTTTATGGAAGCATAATGAAATATACACATTTTTTCTGTTATGTGTACATTTTTTGTTCTACCTAGGAAAAGATTCTTGGTTTAGTTTTTAGGTTAATAGTTCCTTAAAATATGTTCATTTGAATACAGTCATTAAAATAAGTAATGTAACCATATGGTATGTAAAATGATAAAAATCAGTAAGACATTTACACTTCTTACCTTAATTCTTATATGTTAGCTTTTTCATGTGAAAATTATTTTTTCATTAAAAACATGCAAACATACAAAATATATACACAGAATTGTGCTTTGGTTAGGTTCAAATCTTACCCCTTACCTTTTAAAAACAATTATTTAGTTGCTTCCTGCAACTATATTTTGGCCTCTAGTTCATGGGTTAGTGAATATCAGACAACTTCAAGAATATCTTTCAATAAGAACTTTAAGAAGCTGAAAGACAGACTTTAATAGGGGAAAAATGTCTTTGTTAAATTGTGGAATGAAAGGTTAGAATGAACATTTTCTATGGTCTTCTTTTAGATGATCAGTGGTCACCTAAATGTGATTATCGTACCTCTATCAGATGTAAGAAGAAAATACTAGAATTTCTAACGTATACAAACATATATTTTTTTCTTAAAATTTATGATTATATATCATTGTAATAGTACATATTTATTATATATGTAAGTAAATTAAAAATACTTAAGTGAGTTCTTAAAATTGTTTTCATTGATGGGTTTACATAGATGATGAAGATCATGAAGAATTTCAAAGGGTGGGTAATGTGACTTATTGAACAACAGGGACAAAGTTTCAGTTAAAATCTTAGCAGATGACTTTATAATAGTAATGTATTATATACTTGGAAATTGCTAAGAGAGTAGATTTTGCTTTTTGGGTTTTTTTTTTGCTCAGCCTATTTGTTTATTTTTAATTCACATGGGTACACCATACTTGTGCAGATTTGTGGGGTACATGTGATTTTTCTTTTTCATTTTTGAGACAGAGTCTCACTCTGTTGCCCAGGCTAGAGAGTCATGGCCTCAAGAGAGTAGATCTTAAATGCTTTCACCAAAGAAATGTATGCAAGATGACAGATATGTTAATTAGCTTTATTTAATCATCTCACTATACACATATCAACACATCACACTATATATCACAAATATAAACTTTTTTATCAATTATAGATCAGTAAAGCTAAGGAAAACGTAAAGAAATGGCCATAGGATTTATTGTTTCTTTTCTTTATTTTTTTTTTTTTCGAGATGAAGTATCACTTAATCACTGTGGATAGAGTGCCATGGCATCATAGATAATAGCATCTTCAAACTCTTGAGTTCAATCCTTTTGCCTCAGCTTCCCAAGTAGCTGCCACAACGCCTGGCTATTTTTTAGAGACGGGTCTTGCTCATGCTCAGGCTGGTCTCCAACCCTAAGCTCAGTCAGTCCAACCTCCTTGGCTTCCCAAGTTCTGGGATTACAGGTGTGAGCCAAGGATTTAGAGATTCTGCCATCCTTTAGCAAAGATACTAAGTATAAAACTATATAAGACCATTTGAGTGTGAAATAAATGTAAAACTCAATTAATTTTTGTTCTTGC